CAATCTTATTGGATGTTTCTGACATTTTCTAGATTTCCTGTATTTTAATTTAATTTATTCGTAAAAACATTGCTATGACGTATTTTCCTTTTTTTATTTTAGTTTTCTTCCCATCTCCTCCAGATATGTGCCCCTCCTTGCCCTTGACTTCCTTCCTCTCATATATTAACATGATTCTGTGTCTCTTGTCATCCCCTCTCTCTCAGAGGGCTCCGCCTTGGAGGCGTGTCGTCTGCGTGTTCATCGCCTGTTGTCGGGTAAAGTTTTGAAGGTGGAGGCGGACGACATCGACTTCTACGCTTTCTCTTTCTACTACGACCGCGCCGCAGAGCTCGGACTCATCGGTGAACACACACACACACACACACACACACACACTCTTGAATGACATCAGATCACTGTTGATCCTCAGCAGCAGGGGAACAAGGCGTTGAACATAATAGAGACGAGTCCACAATGAACATCTCAACAAAAACAATTCAACAGAACTAAGAAGTAAAACATATGAAAGTAACTCTGTTCCATCAACACCACGAAGGACAAGTATTATTAACAGTAAACTGTAGTACAGTAGTATTTACAGTATGATTACAGTATGTACAGTAGTATGTACAGTAGTATTTACAGTATGTACAGTAGTATGTACAGTAGTATTTACAGTATGTACAGTAGTATTTACAGTAGTATTTACAGTATGTACAGTAGTATGTACAGTAGTATGTACAGTAGTATTTACAGTATGTACAGTAGTATTTACAGTATGTACAGTAGTATGTACAGTAGTATGTACAGTAGTATTTACAGTATGTACAGTAGTATGTACAGTAGTATTTACAGTATGTACAGTAGTATTTACAGTATGTACAGTAGTATTTACAGTATGTACAGTAGTATGTACAGTAGTATGTACAGTAGTATTTACAGTAGTATTTACAGTAGTATGTACAGTAGTATTTACAGTATGTACAGTAGTATTTACAGTATTTACAGTAGTATGTACAGTATGTACAGTAGTATTTACAGTAGTATTTACAGTATGTACAGTAGTATGTACGGTAGTATTTACGGTAGTATTTACAGTATGTACAGTAGTATGTACGGTAGTATTTACGGTAGTATGTACAGTAGTATGTACAGTAGTATTTACAGTAGTATTTACAGTATGTACAGTAGTATTTACAGTATGTACTCGGCATCAGTACAGTAGTATTTACAGTAGTATGTACAGTAGTATTTACAGTAGTATTTACAGTATGTACAGTAGTATTTACAGTATGTACTCAGCATCAGTACAGTAGTATTTACAGTAGTATGTACAGTAGTATGTACAGTATGTACAGTAGTATTTACAGTATGTACTCAGCATCAGTACAGTAGTATTTACAGTAGTATTTACAGTATGTACTCGGCACAAACACGAGTATTTGTGTTCAGGGAAAGATGTATATTTTGTCTGGTGCAGAAGACAGGGAGAAGAGAGAAACACAGGAGGAAGCCAGCCGGCCGTACCAACGGACACAGATTAAAGTTCAGAGAAAATAGAAAATGTTAGAACAAATATTTTCACTTTTCATAACCTTTTTAAAAATGGATTTAAAAAGTGAACAAATTGTTTAAAAATAGAACAATATTTAAACATTAAATAAAGATGTATATAATAAAGTATTATGATAAAGTAATAACGGTCTATATGTTGTGTTTCAGAGGAGCAGACGGGAGGCAGCGTCAGAGTCTCAGATTACAGCGAGGCAGCGGAGAGAGGTGAGTTATATTATACATATCTAATATACAGAGAGGTGAGGGCGCCCCCTGCTGGACGCTCTGCACACGGCACTACAGCATTATATCTAATATACAGAGAGGTGAGGGAGCCCCCTGCTGGACGCTCTGCACACGGCACTACAGCATTATATCTAATATACAGAGAGGTGAGGGCGCCCCCTGCTGGACGCTCTGCACACGGCACTACAGCATTATATCTAATATACAGAGAGGTGAGGGCGCCCCCTGCTGGACGCTCTGCACACGGCACTACAGCATTATATCTAATATACAGAGAGGTGAGGGAGCCCCCTGCTGGACGCTCTGCACACGGCACTACAGCATTATATCTAATATACAGAGAGGTGAGGGCGCCCCCTGCTGGACGCTCTGCACACGGCACTACAGCATTATATCTAATATACAGAGAGGTGAGGGAGCCCCCTGCTGGACGCTCTGCACACGGCACTACAGCATTATATCTAATATACAGAGAGGTGAGGGAGCCCCCTGCTGGACGCTCTGCACACGGCACTACAGCATTATATCTAATATACAGAGAGGTGAGGGAGCCCCCTGCTGGACGCTCTGCACACGGCACTACAGCATTATATTTAATATACAGAGAGGTGAGGGCGCCCCCTGCTGGACGCTCTGCACACGGCACCACAGCATTATATCTAATATACAGAGAGGTGAGGGCGCCCCCTGCTGGACGCTCTGCACACGGCACTTCAGCATTATATCTATACAGAGAGGTGAGCGCGCCCCCGGCTGGACGCTCTGCACACGGCACTACAGCAATAATATCTAATATACAGAGAGGTGAGGGAGCCCCCTGCTGGACGCTCTGCACACGGCACTACAGCATTATATCTAATATACAGGAACAATAAATACATATTAAAATAAGAATACAACTATAAAAGTTCAGGAAAGAGATAAATAAAAATAAGAACAAATAATATAGAATATGTGTATAAGAGGCTTACATTCAAAATAAAATACAAGTGTGGAAACTCCAGTGAGTTGAAGCTTCAGCTCTTCGTTAGCACTTTGAAGGGCTAGCCTGCTAATATGACAATGACAGTTCGTTTTAGTTTTTATTGTCAAGATACATTTCATATAAAAACCAATCGGGGTTATGAAAGTGATGTCTTTTCTTTTTGATGTACTTTGGCGCACATTGGATCATTGTAAAAACTTTGGAATAAGATCGTTAGCTTATGCTAATCGCTGACTCTGATGAGAGATTCTGTTTCAGTGTGCGGGGGGTGGGGTGCGTCCTCCGGCTCGAGCCCCTTCCTCTGTCTGGACCTGCTCTACATCTCCACGCTGCTGCAGGAGCTGGGGTTCCCCCCCCACAAAACTCTCAAGGTGGGCCCCCCACTCTTTAAAGGGTCTTCTTCAACACCCTAACGTCAGCAGGTTGTTCACAGGCTCCAATACTCCTTCTGGATTTATTATCATATCCTTATCATAACTTGTATTTTCCACATGGGGTGTGTATTAATGTGTGTATTGTGTGTGTGTGTTGTGTGTATTCGTGTGTGTGTGTGTGTGTGTTGTGTGTGTTAATGTGTGTGTTGCAGCTGGCGAGGACGATCCATCAGGTTGAGACCAGCTGGGCTCTCGGAGCGACTTTCCATTACATCGAGTCCCTGAACACACACTGAGGCTCTTATTCTGAAAATCCTCACCTCATCCTGAATGTGCCGTAAACAAAGAATAAATCAGCAAATAAAATGTATTTATTCCTAAAAAGGAATAAATAAATAAGTAAATACTTTTAAAATAATGTTTTTGCCTGATGCACAAACCTTGATGCATTTCTCAGGTGACGTCGTCAGAGAGTCCTGACAGCCAATCAGAAGCTGCGCTGCTACTCAGCTCCGCCCCTTTTTATTTTAAGATGTCTGACTCAATTTCTCTGGTTAGGGTTTCTCTCAAAGGCGGCGTGGGGAAGCAACAAAATACTTTTACTCAAGTACAAGTACTGAAGTACTTTCTTAAGTTACTGAGGTACTTTTGAAGTACACCTGGAGATGAAAATGTAGTTCTTAAAAAAAAAAGTGAAATTCTAGTTTTTGTTGTAATCAAACAAATAAACTGAAAAAAGTGAACATCGGAAACAAAGTCATATTTTGTGAAAAAAACGTCTATTTAAAAATATTGATTCTGAAATTCAGAATAAAAGGAAATTCTGGGAACGAAGGGTTAATCTGGAAAAACAGCCAAAACGAAATATTCCCAAAAAAAAAATTTCTTTTTTTTCTTTGTGCATTTCCATTTGTTGCTTCTTTAGTTAAACCAGTCCTTTATTCTTATTCATGATTACACGGCAGTTTGACTCTAGCTCTAAATAAAACGGTGCTCACTTAAAGCATCTGTATTTTTATATCTTAAGCTCTTATAAATCTTAGCGATGCAAATACTTTTGTATGTTCAGTGTTTTATTCCAGAGTCAGTGAGATGCAGCCGAAGCCTCGGAGCCGCTCAGCCGAAGCCTCGGAGCCGCTCAGCCGAAGCCTCGGAGCCGCTCAGCCGAAGCCTCGGAGCCGCTCAGCCGAAGCCTCGTAGCCGCTCAGCGGAAGCCTCTGAGCTGCTGACGAAGGAGCTTCTACGGATACCAACAAATAACCAAACACGAGAAGTTTAAATGAATTCTCTGATTGCTTTTAGAAGAGTTCATATTTACCGTGAAGGTTGATCCGACGTCTCTGAACTGCTGCTGCTGTTGTTGTTGTTGTTGTTGTTTTCTTCAGTAAAAGACTCATGAAGGTATTTCCTCGACAGCGTGTCGGATGTTTGTTTCTCTGAAGGTTTCCACGTGTGAGTTTGGTGACACATCTGCAATAAACCATGTTTTCTGAAGACTGTGTTTCATTTAGAGGGAGGATCCTCACTAGATGGCGCGAGGGAGGATCCTCACTAGATGGCGCGAGGGAGGATCCTCACTAGATGGCGCGAGGGAGGATCCTCACTAGATGGCGCGAGGGAGGATCCTCACTAGATGGCGCGAGGGAGGATCCTCCACTAGATGGCGCAAGGGAGGATCCTCCACTATATGGTGCTATGGAGGATCCTCCACTAGATGGATCCTCCACTAGATGGCGCTAGGGAGGATCCTCCCTAGCATACCTTAGCGATATATGCGTACCCCGTAGGGACATTAACTACCAGTCGCGGTACGCCAAATGTACAGACATGCAGTTCCGCCCCGGAGCAAAATAAAAATAATCTGGGGTGCTACATGGATAGCCAGTGCAGGGACCTTCCACGTGGAAAAAGAACCGGAGACGGACGAGCTTTCCCCGCACCAGAGGGCGTAATGTCCACTGAGCGGACATCATTGGCCGTGGCGTGTACACGTGTATATGTCCATATCACGGACATTAATACATAGAGTGGTGTCCATGAAATAGACATTGCAAATAAGTGTTTAGCGGTGATTTAAACTAGTTTCTGCGGGGAAAAGAGTGCTAAAAATTGGTTTTTCAGCACCCAAATTCGGCCCTGATACATCCAGCCCCGGAGAGCTCGCTGGAGAGGGGGAGACAGCCTGACAGGGACTCCTGCCCACAGCTGCTGGGGGTCGACATGGAGGTTTGGCAGTCCGCCTTTCAGCACCCAAACTCGGCCATGCTGCTTCACAGCACTATGTAACCCAAGAAAGAAGCTTGAAACCTGTCCATTTCATCCACATTTGACTACTCATGAAATGTACAACAGAGTCACTGCTGTAAGCAGGGTCCCACACTCACAGGCAGAGATCCAGGGTGATGCACATGGCTTTCTTACCCAGGAATGAGTGTGTGAATGCTGGGTAAAAGTGATGTGAATACAGGGAGGGAGAGCAGCAGCGGGCTGTGACACAGAGGTACACAACGATGTGTACACTGGGTCATTCAGAATGTGCTATTTCTGGATAAATAGCACACTCTGAACATATGTCAAACAGAGATTCATATTAAAAGTGATCAATTAATAGCTAGATTTGACATGGGCAAACAGGCTATTTCACAGGACACAGGATATGTCACACTGCCATTAAATACACCGGGAAAACCACCTCTCTGTGGCCGCTCCAAGAGCCCCAAATGACGGACTACAGACCTCCAGCATCGCTCCCTGACATGCATACTTCCATAACCTCGCGCACCTTGGGTCCCCGGGCCCCCGAACTTAAGCACTCCCCCACGGACTAAACCCAGATGATCACACCCTCAATAACCTCGTGCCCCTGGTAACCTTAAAGGGGGGTGTATTTTGCGGTGCTTTACCGTCCGCCCATCGGCATCCATATTCGGCCTTCTTCACAGCACCACCTGCCTTGCTGGAGGTTCACACTTTAACTTTTTTTTACCCTCCTCTGCCTTACACATCCTCCAACACTTGAGCACTCCTCACTCGGACTAAACCCCTTCATGCACACCACCAGAACCTCAGTGCTCCTGGGGATCTTAAAGGGGAAACACCCATAGTGGGTTTTAAAAAAGAGGACAAAGTAAGTAATTTTAACAAACTTTATTTACAGAAATATATACATTGACACTTTATAACATTATAACATTATAACATTATTAACTCATCCAGCACAAGGGGACTGAGTACAACAAAACATTGCATATTTACAAGTTGGTCACTGGCAACATTGTCCGTATCGGGTGAAGTTGGTGCAGAGGCTGGCACCCTCTCTTCACCCGTGTCTGAGGGACTGTGTTCGGCCATTGACTGTTCCCTCTTCGCCGCTCTCCAAGCGTTGAAGTTTTTGTAGAATTCTTCATCTGACGTCTCGGTATCAGGGGAGTCTTGGTAGGGAGTGGGGCTATGCTCCTCTCCAGAGCTGTCACTGTGGATGTCAATGTCCCCCAAATTGTCTTCACTCCCCCCTGATGCTGCTGCTGCCGCCGCTGCTTGCAGTGACTCTGTGAAGAGCAGCCGTATGTCCGCAGCCTCCTTCAAAGAAGGATTCTTGGCATAAAATGTGTCTGCAGTTGCAGTGTTGTGACACATGAAATCACTCACTCTTTGGCGGTTGCCTATGTCCTGAAACCTCTTCGCATTATCTGCGTGGACTGTGCGGAGGTCGGTGAAGTTAATGGGACCTTTTAGTCCCACATCAGCCCATGCTAACCTCAGGAAAGAGGCAAGGTTCCTCGATGGGTTCTTCCCCGCTGTGCAGAGGAAGTAGCGGTTGTTGGTGCCGGTCAGCGTCCCCTTGATTTCCAGCCACCTCTTCATCCATCCAAATTCTTCTATGGTGAGGTACAGCTGCGCTTCCCCGAACGCGTTGGCCATCTTGTGGTTGCTTACCTGTTATGACAGAGTTAGAGAGCGTCAATACAAGTATCAATTATGCACAACATGTTTATCACTGCCAGAATAAACACATTTTTTTAATAGCTCACTCACGTGGATGAGGTAGCCAAAGGCAGTGCCAGTTGTCTCCGCCTTTCGGACCTCGGCGTTGGTCATGTTGGAGTAGACCCCCGGACGGTGCCCATAAATGCATCTCCAATTGAGGGTCATGTACCCATACAGCAGTATCCGGGTTGCGGTAGTCGGATTGCTGGTCATCACGTCCAGGAGCTGAGGGATGCGAGTTTTGGCCGCAGTCAAACATGCCATGATGTCTTTATGGCTTGGCAGACCTTCCATCTTGTCCCGCTTCACCTGCATCTGGTGGATAACCACCTTCTTTCTCAGGGACTTCAGGATGGCAGCAACTTCCCGTGTGATTAAAATCATGTCGTTGTGGTTGAGCCTGCTCCCCTTGCATGGTGTTTCCTACATGTACTTGAGAAAGTGTGATATATTTTTGATATAGAAGTCAGGTCGTGACCTGTAGGCTTGACTTTATCAGGCTCCGGGACCACCCACGTATCTTCTTCAGATCCCTCAGAAAGAGCCAGTCAGACAGGCGATTGAAACCGTGTGCCATGAAGCTTAGGAATGATTTCACTCTGCTTATTTTGGAGACTGCGTTTTCTTGGAGCCTCACTGTTGGGTCGATGCCCTCATAATGGTCCCGGTAGCCTTGCAGATACTTCTCCATGATGCGTGGGAATGTTATGTCCCGCATTCTATTCCCCCGGCCCCTGCCGCTGAACCAGGGGGAATGTATGGGAGGGGAGGATGACCAGGCCTCGGTATCTATGGATGCCGGTTCTGAGGAGCTGGATACAGGTGTGTGAGAGGCAATGGGGGACTTCCTGCAGGAGGGACCTTTGGACTTGGACAGCCTCTTTGGTGTTGACTCTGTTCGGGGTTGTTTCCTTAGAAACACCCGCTCTTGTTCCTCCCCATCCTCTTCATCGAACCCAAGCATGTCCTCGGCCCTCTGGTTGCTCCTCTGTCGCTTACGTTTTATCCTCTGCTGCAGCATGCAGCGCAGGGATTTCACCTCAGCAGCATATCTGTCCCTCTGAGCCCTCATTGTGTTTGACTCCATCCTCCATTCCTTACAGTCCGGGTTGTCACATTCAATCACTGGGGACAAGGGTGGAGGTTGTGACAGGACCTCATCACCCACAGTGTCCACATCCCAAGAGGTAATCATTGCTACTGTGGGGTTTGTCAATCTGAGTTCATGAAGCTCCTTCGTGGCCACTGTCATTTTTAGTTTAGTTACAACCACATGTATTTCCTCCCGGGACAGCTCAACATGGTCTCTGTCCAAGTGGCGGTCCAGCCTTGTCCCGACGCACTCGCATCCTGCAATGGTGCAGGGATGGATTTTTCTTTCAACTAAATTACGCACACTATGGTTCCTCTGCAGGTGCTTGCTCAGGGCGCAGTAGGAACTCTTACAGATAGGACAACCGATCGCCATCCTATTTGTATGCATGAGCATTTCGGTACCAGGAAGTGTCACCAGTAGAATGTATAGAACCGGGGGCGACAAAAGAAGGAAAGGTGAAAAGAAGAAAGTTGCACTCAGCGAACTAGAAAGACCCCATGTCAAATCTCTCCAGTTTATTTTCCATTTGCATCATCGTGCGAAAGGTGTCCCATTTAGGCACTCGTTAGGTGGGCAGAGATCCCTGTCATCTCTCTGTCCTATCCTCCAGGCAAGGCGGGAGCCAAAACTGGGTGAAATTGACCAAAAAGTTAAAATAAATACAATAAGTCATCCATGGAAAGATGCATGAAAGTGAAAAAAGTATCCAAAAATAGTGCATCATAATGCGGGTAGAGTCCCCTGACAACTATCCTTACATTCCTCCAGAATCTGGAAATACTCTGTTATATTTTGGGAGAACCAGAGGAAAGGGGTGAAAATGGATAAAATGTATCTGAAAATAGTGTCTCTTAGAATCCACTTCAAGACACTGGTACTTGCGTACCATGCTGCGAATGGATCTGGCCCTTCCTACATCCAGGACATGGTTAAACCGTACACCCCAGCGCGTGCACTACGCTCTGCATCAGCCAAACGACTCGCTGCACCCTCGCTGCGAGGGGGACCCAAGTTCCCATCTGCGAAAACACGTGGGTTTGCGGTCCTGGCTCCAGGATGGTGGAATGAGCTCCCATTGACATCAGGACGGCAGATAGCTTACACATCTTCCGGCGCAGACTGAAAACTCATCTCTTTCGACTCCACTTCGAGCGATAGAACTATTAACGAAGCACTTTTATACTAATAAAGGACTGGCTTACCTAAAGCCAGTTGAGTAGCACTTGAAATGTTTGGCTCTATGAAACCTGATGTACTTTATGATTCTGTTTTCTTCAAGGTTATGTCTTCCTGGTCGAATGTACTTATTGTAAGTCGCTTTGGATAAAAGCGTCAGCTAAATGCAATGTAATGTAATGTAATGTTAAGGCGGATAGAGTCCCCTGACAACTCCCCCTACATTCCTCCAGAGTCAGAAAAAGTCTAAGTTAACTTTTGGAAGAACCAGAGAAAGGGTTGAAAATGGATAAAAATGTATCCGAAAATAGTGTCTCATTATTCCGTGGCAACTCCCCTTGAATTCCTCCAGAGGCCAGTTCAAAAACTTAAAGTTTTGTAAGAACCATGATTGGGGGTCCTCCAGGCAACAATTGTATCCGATCCAAAGTGCTCATGCAGCGGATGCATTCCTCCATGATTTCCCCATCATGAGAAATAGGCCGTTTTTTTCTAAGTGCTCTCAAAAACCGGGTTTCTGATTTCGTGCAGATGGTAGCTTGGAAAAGATGAATGAATTTTTTCGACGGAGGAAGGGAGGTCAGTATTCCGCTCTCCGTTGAAAAATGCAACGGGGTAGTGCAAATGTCTCCGGGGCTTCCGCCGGAAGCGCCGAAGACTTGAGCTTTTTGCAGCCCCTCCTCCGTTGGCACTTAGCCGTTTTTTCGAGAATTTTTAAAAACTTCATTTTTGATTATTTTAAGATATAATTGACCGTTTTATTTACTTTGTTTTGCTTTCCACGGGTGGGGGCGCATGGCAGGCCGCCGATGAGCTCCCAAATTCGGCCTGGAACCTCCGGGAATTGGGTCCATTTCATCCACTTTTGATTACCCATCAAATGTACATGAAATGGACGCGACCAAATGTGGCAACAGGTTCACTGCTGTAAGCAGGGTCCCACACTCACAGGCAGAGATCCAGGGTGATGCACATGGCTTTCTTACCCCGGAATGAGTGTGTGAAAGCTGGGTAAAAGTAATGTGAATACAGGGAGGGAGAGAGAGCAGCCGCAGCAGCAGCAGCAGCAGCAGGATGGGACCCAGAGAGCTCCTTCCAGCACAGAAAAGGGTGAAAATGGATAAATTGTATCCCAAAATAGTGTCTCTTAAGGCGGGTAAAAGTTATGTGAATATGGTGTGATGTCCTGTCCGGGGCAGGCACTTTGCATTGGAAGTTGACATCAGATGGCTCTAGGGAGGATCCTCCACTAGATGGTGCTAGGGAGGATCCTCCACTAGATGGCGCTAGGGAGAATCCTCCACTAGATGGCGCTAGGGAGAATCCTCCACTAGATGGCGCTAGGAAGGATCCTTCACTAGATGGCGCTAAGGAGGATCCTCCACTAGATGGCTCTAGGGAGGATCCTCCACTAGATGGCGCTAGGGAGAATCCTCCACTAGATGGCGCTAGGGAGGATCCTCCACTAGATGGCGCTAGGGAGAATCCTCCACTAGATGGCGCTAGGAAGGATCCTTCACTAGATGGCGCTAAGGAGGATCCTCCACTAGATGGCTCTAGGGAGGATCCTCCACTAGATGGCGCTAGGGAGAATCCTCCACTAGATGGCGCTAGGGAGGATCCTCCACTAGATGGCGCTAGGGAGGATCCTCCACTAGATGGCGCTAGGGAGGATCCTCCACTAAATGGCGCTAGGGAGGATCCTCCACTAGATGGCGCTAGGGAGGATCCTCACTAGATGGCGCTAGGGAGGATCCTCCACTAGATGGCGCTAGGGAGGATCCTCACTAGATGGCGCTAGGGAGGATCCTCACTAGATGGCGCTAGGGAGGATCCTCCACTAGATGGCGTTAGGGAGGATCCTCACTAGATGGCGCTAGGGAGATTCAGCACAGGTCCCTTTCCCTTTCTACTCTATCATCTCCAGCGTTAGAGAGACTCCCTCTGGAGGACCTCAGGGACTCTGTCCTCTGCAGACCGTTCACGTGCACTAACTCAACACCAACCACAGGAGAGTAGTAGTAAGGATACTGTTTCAATCACATTAGTATGCATGAAAACTGACAGGTGGACACGCCCTCAATTATGCAAATGAGCTAAGTCCCTTCTCCCTTTGTTCGAGATCCTTTGATGTGTGTTAAAACAGGTAGGTGTGAAAAGCCCCCTGGGTAGCGCCTTTGTTGTCTAATTATTTGATGTGTTGATTAAGGTAGTCTCTTTGAAGTTGTGTTGTCTGGCCCCTGTCCCCTCACACCCCTTTGTAGTCTAGTCCTTTGATGTGAGGTGTTATAGCAGGTAGGTGTGATATAAGCCTTTGATGTTAATCTAGGTGTTGATTAAGGCAGACTCTTTGAAGTTATGATGTCTGGCTCCTGCCCCTCAGAGCCCTTTGTTGTCTAATCTGTCAAATGTTATAGTATCCTTACTACTACTCAGGAGAGGAACAGGGACTCTGTCCTCTGCAGACCGTTCACGTGCACTAACTCAACACCAACCACAGGAGAGGAACAGGGACTCTTTAAAATACTTAATTACAAGATAAAGTCCCTTATTCTAAATGCTACTCTAGAAGTACACAAGTATGTAGAGTTAAATGTGCTCCCCAGGGGCGTAGTTAGGACCTCGAGGCACGACACACAGATCATTACCCACAATCCCCTCTGTTTCAGCCCTGTTTCCAAAGTGCTGATTCTCTGTCTGTTACTTCAGATGAAAACAAGGAGCCCCTCCCCACGCCCCTCTGAGAGACATTTGGTTACAAAGAACTCAATGGTGCTCTAGAGGAGATTCAGGTGATAAGGGGGGGGGGGGTTACCTTGGTTGCTGATTGGCTAATGGTTACACAAGACAACACATCGTGATGACATCATCAAGTGGCCAAAATCTGATCAGCTCATTTTCAGACAGGTTTTTATAGAAATGGATCAAAAAGAGAGAGAATCTTTGTTCCTGAAACTTAGTCTCTTTCCACAGAGGGGACACATGTTGATGTAGAAGAGACATGAAGAAGAGGGGACACATGTTGATGTAGAAGAGACATGAAGAAGAGGGGACACATGTTGATGTAGAAGAGACATGGAGAAGAGGGGACACATGTTGATGTAGGAGAGACATGAAGAAGAGGGGACACATGTTGATGTAGAAGAGACATGAGGAAGAGGGGACACATGTTGATGTAGAAGAGACATGAAGAAGAGGGGACACATGTTGATGAAGAAGAGACATGAAGAAGAGGGGACACATGTTGATGTAGAAGAGACATGGAGAAGAGGGGACACATGTTGATGTAGAAGAGACATGAAGAAGAGGGGACACATGTTGATGTAGAAGAGACATGAAGAAGAGGGGACACATGTTGATGTAAGATAGAGACATGACGAAGAGGGGACACATGTTGATGTAGAAGAGACATGAAGAAGAGGGGACCACATGTTGATGTAGAAGAGACATGAAGAAGAGGGGACACATGTTGATGTAGAAGAGACATGAAGAAGAGGGGACACATGTTGATGTAGAAGAGACATGAAGAAGAGGGGACACATGTTGATGTAGAAGAGACATGAAGAAGAGGGGACACATGTTGATGTAGAGAAGAGACATGAAGAAAGAGGGGACACATGTTGATGTAGAAGAGACATGAAGAAGAGGGGACACATGTTTGATGTAGAAGAGACATGAAGAAGAGGGGACACATGTTGATGTAGAAGAGACATGAAGAAGAGGGGACACATGTTGATGTAGAAGAGACATGAAGAAGAGGGGACACATGTTGATGTAGAAGAGACATGAAGAAGAGGGGACACATGTTGATGTAGAAGAGACATGAAGAAGAGGGGACACATGTTGATGTAGGAAGAGACATGAAGAAGAGGGGACACATGTTGATGTAGAAGAGACATGAAGAAGAGGGGACACATGTTGATGTAGAAGAGACATGGAGAAGAGGGGACACATGTTGATGTAGGAGAGACATGAAGAAGAGGGGACACATGTTGATGTAGAAGAGACATGAAGAAGAGGGGACACATGTTGATGTAGAAGAGACATGAAGAAGAGGGGACACATGTTGATGTAGAAGAGACATGAAGAAGAGGGGGACACATGTTGATGTAGGAGAGACATGAAGAAGAGGGGACACATGAGGAAGAGGGGACACATGTTGATGTAGAAGAGACATGAAGAAGAGGGGACACATGTTGATGTAGAAGAGACATGAAGAAGAGGGGACACATGTTGATGTAGAAGAGACATGAAGAAGAGGGGACACATGTTGATGTAGAAGAGACATGGAGAAGAGGGGACACATGTTGATGTAGGAGAGACATGAAGAAGAGGGGACACATGTTGATGTAGAAGAGACATGAGGAAGAGGGGACACATGTTGATGTAGAAGAGACATGAAGAAGAGGGGACACATGTTGATGTA